GTCTTTGCTTTCTGCTGATTGTGTGGGGAGATCACAGGCTTTAAACGGAATCGAGTGACTCCAGTCCATTCTTGAACATCACTCGAATGTGCATTGGGACTGACCCAAGTGTCTGTGCAAGAAAACTTCTTCCCGGACGCGGATGCAGTGGCAATTGTTGTTCTCCTAACCCAACCGGACACTCACTAACCCCTATGGGAGTAAACCGTACCCACCTAGGAACCACATGGACCCTATCTAAAATGCCTTTGCTGCGATCCAAAATCCAGTAATCAGTCTTCGCATGCTGACTATACAAGCAGGGTGCTTTGCCGGACTTTTTGTCGCCTTGCTTTACCCATTGAAGCTGCCTACGCTTGTCGGATCTTTCCTTAAGAGCCCTACACTCATCAAACAAAGAGTACCTCCCAGTTCTTAGACACTCCCTAAGGCGACCAGCGTCCATTGCCTTGGTCAAGCAATCGGCCAGTTGAACACTGGATGCTACCCAACGGAGCTTGCAATTTTCTTGCATCCTTTGGCGAATCAAGAGGCACTCAATTGTCGTCCTGTACTCCTCACATTGGGGGGGAGCCGTTCGGGTAACTATATCGTAAACCGACTTGCAATCCGTGGCGGCAGCAGCCGTGGGCTCTGACTCCAAAACTTTTTCAGGCTGTTGCCATGGAACTGCGGGATCCTTAAGCCAAGCCCAAAACAAACGCAGCCATGACAGACGATCCACTGAATTACTCAAAACAAACGCTTCTGCCCCAAGTGTGCTTCGTACCACCCTTGGGATCCTCTTCGAGGACCAGGCCATTGGACAAACAACTGCTGGGTGATTACTCAGAAGTGTAGTATGAGTAGCAAAGATAATCATCCCCTGGTGAGCACTTAGTTCCTGAGAAGAAGCGAAAGAAGCGTCACTAAACGCGTAGAACGTTACCTCCTCCTCTTTGATCGGAACGATCATAATTGAAACATGATGAGTTTTGGCTTCATGCAAAACTTTGTTAGCAAGAAGGAGGTGGGACACGCATGCCGAGTTGATCGCTGACTGCAGCTCTCCTACCTTGGCGCAGACGTCCGCTCTGGTGTGGACAGCTGCATATTGCAACGATCCAACAAGCTGACGAAGTCTCTGTCGCTCTGAATCCGTGACTGGACTTTCGGGATCCTTCCGCCTTTGTCGAGGGATTTCGATGGCCTCAATGCTTTCAACGTAAGAACTTTGGTCCATTTCGATGCTGCCATCTTCCCACCTGATGCAGATGAATCCCCGTGAACACGAAATCCTTTTCTTCAAAGGATCCAAAACTAAAATGAGACCGAAGCTTGTCCAGTACCGCATGAAACCGATCATTACCCCCACAGATACCGTCATCAACATGAATCCCCAAAACCCCATGATCCCGAACTGACCCATTGCCATCTCGTTCAGAGAGTGTGTAAAGGCAGGGGTCGAATGGGGACTGCTGAAAACCCAAACTCAAAAGTTCCTTCCGAAGTTCCTGATACCAAAGATATGGGGCATCTATTCTGCCGTATGCTCCGCCATCGAGTCCACATTCGTCCTGTGGTCCCATGTTGAGGGCTTCTTTCAGTTCTGGAGGGGCTTGAATGCCCAACTGGCGTCCATCCCCTTTTCCATGGAGAAAAGCCGTGCTAATATCGAAAGAGCAAAGCTTCCACCGATTGCTGCAGATTTTCTGAAGCAAAAGCTGACGCCCATCCTTACTTAGGGTGGGGGCATCATTCGGGACATAGTCGATATCAGGATCTTCAAAACCCAAAACTACCAGTCTAGCCTTAGCTTTCTTCCCGTCAGGATTTGCTTCATCTGTCTCAGCCGCCGGCTTCCAAGTGTAGATCCAACGGCATCTCATGATGTTCTTGGCTGGAATTTTGCCTTTGGCAATCTTCCGGACCGTGGCGTGTGAAATCTAGGCTCTGACTTCCTTATGCTTAGCTAACGCAAACCTCTGCTGATCCTTAACTGTAAGGTCTCTGAGCTTGACTTCCACACGTTTCTTTCGGCCCTCACTTGCCAGAAAAATCATGGACTCGTCCAGTTGTCTCGGAAGATCCCAGTTACTTGGGGGGGTTACATCAATTTCCCACACAACATCTGAACCACAATTGTAACTACACTCCTCAACAATCAAAGCATCCCCAAACAACTCGTCCTCTTCAGGAACGGGTATCTCCTGAGACAACTGCTGAACCCGTGTAAGCTCATCCATGGACATGCCAGGGATGTTTGGCGATGGACTCGGTGGAAGAGGTGCCTTTGGCTCCTCGTCCGGCGCTTCCATTGAAATGTCAAGGGATTCCGGAATCTTCTCAGCTTCAGGTTCTGAACCCTCACTTACCTCAGGACCCGTTAAGTCCTCCACCTGCTCAGGCGGTGGAAGCTCTTCGCCCTCCAAGTCAACGTACTGAGGCGACCGTCGAAGCTGTTCTTTCAAAGAAGTGCCCTGAGACAGAGGTCGACCTTGCTCGTCCTTCGGTATTTTTCCCCATTCTCTCAGTGAAGCCGCCCGAATCTGCTCTGGACTTGCTCTGACCAGACGACCTGCGCGCGACAGCCAGACAACCTTGCGATCCTTGGCCACGATCTCTGCCGGACCATGCCAACGGCCATGTTCGCGTCGAAGGTTGACACCTCGTCGTTTCCAGTAGAGCACCAGGTCGCCAACTTCCCAGTCATCACGTTGAGGTCGGGTGCGCCGAAGTAGCCCTCGACGGAAGCTAGAGCTGTTGTCGGTCATGACAAAAGCTTTCCTCGCCAGTTCTCGGAGCCTCAGCTCCTGCAGAAACCGCTGCCCTTCTGGTACTTGCCCTCCTTCTTCAGTCCCGCTTTCCGCGAGAGCATGGGAAGATGCATCATCATCGGACAGGATTGACCCTGGGAGTCTGGCTGCCACACCGAGCACTGCTTGCTGTGGACTGTGTCCGCTTGCTCTGCGCAAAGTGTTTTTAGCATTGAAAACTTGACGCAACGCTTTCCCGAAAGCCTCTGAGCTGTCAATTGGAAACTCTAGATCCATCCGAGTCAGCGTGCGTTTAACAGTTGACCCATGAATCTCGGTACGTCCCAGTTGCCAATGCGAGTCGCTTGCACTCATATGAACATGGATGCCCGATGCCTGCATCTTAGCAGCAAAGGCGTCTGAAACAAATTCCCCGCCCAGATCAACATACACTTCCCGAGGTTGCCCAGCCCATGATACCCACCGTTGCTCAAACAGTTCAATCACCCCTTCCGCTCCCTGTGAACATTCCGCCCCCAAATTGAACAGCGTTCCCTCATCAATGAAATGTACAAACTGAAATAACTGAAACTCAGTGCCCTGTGCATTCCGCCACGAGACCAGGTCCATCCCAACTTTTGTATTAAACGCGAGATTTTCATGAATGGCGGCAGGCCGGCTGGCCATAAAACCTTTCTTNNCAGTACATGCATCACATTGATAATCTAATGCAGCTTTCTGAACTTCTGCACATGCTCCTCCTTGGCGGAGAAATGTCATGAATTTGTTCGGGTCGGGTGGCCGAGGTTGTGATGTAGCTGTTTGAGTTCGCTTTGTTCCTGACTGTTAAGTTTGAGAAAAGCAGGTCCATGATTTGCAACCGGTGGGGGACCCCAAGCAACTCGGTCGGTGTTGTGTCGATTGTCGGGTGGTCGGTCGGGTGTTTCGCTTGTCCCCGGCGGTCCATTGATCCTGGGTTGGATCTGGTGGAAGTGTGTCCGGGTTCGGAGGTTCCTGTTCACTCTGGGTTCCAAAGATTGTAACGGCTACTTTTGCTGGGCGTCCCTGGCGCACCTGCTTGTAACGAGGAAGATCAACCCATCTTTCTACAGGATCCTCATCCTCTACAACCCCCGTGTTCCGATTAATAACCACCGTTTTGCGACTCGAAACAAGAGACTGATCATACTTACCATGCGGTGTACGAAGTCTGTTCACTCCACGGCATGCTTCAAGATGGTGTATCTTCATTTCTAGGACAAGTTGCTGAACCAGAGGAATCATCTCATCTTCAGGGGGAAACACTGCATTTCCTACCCTAGGAATTTTGGCATTGAGTTTCTTGAAAACATGCTGCCAATCTACCATGCTCTTGCCATACCCATTTCGCTCTTGAGGGCTTTGCTTGTACATGCAACGTCGACGTTTCAGGATTTGACCGAACTCTGCTATGGTGTCGGGATCATCCCTCTTTTACCCTGCAAATGCACACAGCTCTGACAAGGCAAGTGGGCGCTCATTTCCAAGTTTTGCCACAATGTTTCTGAACCCTTTTGAGAACCCTGCCGCATATCCTACCTTATGCTCATAACCTTTGAGGGACAAGTACCGATGATCCAACCCGTCATGAACCCTAAGGGATGTAGTCCTGAACTCAACCCTTCGCCGGAGATAGTTATTGTCCTTGAGTCTTATGGATCTTCGGAACATATCCCAAATGATATACGGTATCGAGGGTGCCCAAAACAACTTCAGAATCATTGTCCACAAGGTACTGAACAAAATCCCGTGGGGCCCACAAATGAAAATGATTTCCCTGAACAATCTGATTGAAATAGAGCTCCTGACACCATTCAAGCATGATCCTTTTCTCTGCCCTGCTTAAATTGGTAAACCCTATGCTGAACCACAGATGTCTCGGCTTGCGGGACATTACTTTTTCCAGAGTCGAGGATCGAACGCGAGCATCCCGAATGCCCGGTCGGGCAACTTCGGCTTGCAACCCTGAGCTGTTGCCATTACAACTTATGAAGGCTGAAAACCCACAACTGATTTCAAACAAGTCAGAGGCGCAAGCTTTGCCGGAAATGCTCTGAGACTTTGATAGGACGTGCTGGGACCATATCATCTCTTTCAAGTTTGCTTCACACAACGAACACAGCTCATCTAGCTGACTTGCGATTAATGCAACTTGATCGGACGATAACTCCCTTTCCCGAGGCTGGTCCATCCGTTCCAGGTTGGATCCAGGATTGGAAAACTCATCTAGCCCAGCTGATCCAGCTGCCTCTGCAGCATTGCAATCTGAGTCGCAAGGATCTGCTTCTGCTCTTCGTTCCCCTCCATCGTCATTGGCAACTCTTGCTCTGCGATCACCTCCCACGTGCTCTGACTCGGGCGCTTGTGACTGGAACTTGAGCTCTTCGCCGCCGTGGTCCTCGGAAGGATTGGGCCGTGTGTCATCCCTTTGTCGGTTTTCTCCTGGACTGCCTCCATCTTCTTCTGTACCTTGACACTCTCCACTGCGCGACAGAAGTTCTGAAAGCTCACCAGGGACTTGGCCGTCACCCTCCGGTTGATGATATAGCGCACGTGCTCTGGATGGTTGTCGACCGTCTCGAGAAAAGCCTTGCCCTTGAAACGGCCGTCCTCCAGGATTTGACGCCGACCGGCTTGGTGGTTTGCGCCGGTCCCACATAGGTCAGGTTCAGGTCTTCGTCCTCCTCGAGTCTAAGTTCCTGATCCAGGAGGTCCGCTGGAGTTGCCATGAGGAGCGGAGCGCCACGAGCGGATCAACGCCAAGTGGATGCTGGGGAGAAAGCTGAGCTGGAACGGCTGCGTTTGTCGACCGATCGTCATGGTGAGTCTCCAAGGCATTCTCGAAGTCCGTGCCAATTCCCAGGAGTTCACGAATGTCGACTAGATAAAGCCCTTTACTGTTAAGTGTAAGCCCTAGACTCTTCCCCAATTCCGGAATCCACAGGGTGTTGGTGTCAAAATTCAATTGACCCCGCAACTGTCGCATCACTGGATTTGACAGGAGAAATGGTGTCTTCCCTTTAACAATCTCAATCTTAAACCACTTCTTACCATACGGGACGTAAGCTGAACCCAGACTAGGCAAGACACCAGTGTTCCCAAATCGGAAAACCACTTGCGAATCAGCACGCTTGATCTGCCTTCTGACATGGACAGGCAACTGGGATACAAATGTCTCGAAATTATCTTTTCCAATCACCGTCTTGCTGGCACCTGTGTCGAGAATTGCTAGCTCAGCTCGCTCTACTACAAGGGCCTCTTCACATGGAGTCTCTGTTCCCCTTAGTTTGTTCCATGTCTGGCAGAGTCGCTGAAGCTTCACTCGAAAAGCACATGTTGGTGGCACACTGTGGTTTGAATGCACAGAATCAACAAGATATTCATGTTGACCAAAGAACGTTAACGCATGTTGCATGCTAATTAAGGAGGAGACAGGGGACGGGCGCTGCGATGAAGAACTGCCAGGGTCTCGATCAACCACATTCCAGGGAAGCTGGTCCACAATCTCGGGGTCATTCTCGAGCTGTCTGCCCTGATCATATGTGATTGTCGCATAGTTGGACGTCTCCTGGCTACTGCTGGCGTTTGCCCCTGGACGTTGTGGACATTCCAGACGCCAATGTCCTTTCATGCCGCATATGCGACAGGAAGAGGACGCGATCCTCTCTGCCAGCGTGCGACGCATCGGCTGGCCCTTGCCGCCG